ATTACTTATATGACACTTATAATTAAAATAATTTATTTATCATGATTATATAATTAATTTTAACGTAATCATGCATAATATGATGACATGGGAAAAAATATATGTTCTTTGGGCGAGAGATGATAATGTATTTTGGAAAGTCACGAACGGAGTAACAAGGGATAAAATTAAATAATTAATTAATTAAATTAGTTTATTATAGATATTTTATTGAGATACTGACGTTTCGAACCACATTCTGTGTGAAGTATTATCCATATAGCATGTTTTAACTAATGATTTTACTCCTATCTGAGTTTCTGAAACGTTATGATGCGAGAATTTTGATTGTACAACTGTATAATACAATTCAGAAAGATGTATTTGATGTTCTACTGTGCTTTATGGCACTTTAGAGTCGGCCAAGCTTTATGCTTGAACGGCAAAAACCCGAATGCTAATTTTGGCACCAAAGTTCTCAACGCCGGAATTTCCAACCTCTCCCTTACATGCAGAACCGATCTGGCGAACAAGTACGTAATTTAGACATTGTGGCGTTAGTTGCGTAATCGCTTTCCACGTAATGTGTATCTTCGCTTTCTTTCGTTTTAGATTGCTGCAGATCAGAAACCGTTTCCAGCATTCGTGGCTTTCCAGAAATATGTCAAGCACGTTGCCCAACGTGCTAAAGATTTTCGACAATATGTTTCGCCTGTTGTTGCCGCCAAAGTTATCGGTTCTGGGCGAAAGTCTCCTGTGATTGTTTTTGCTTTTAATCGCTTCATTGCGATGGTTGTTTTTTTCTTGCTAATTATGATTCATGTTTATTGCTTCTTGGTTTTGTTGATTTTTTTGTTCTCTGATTAAATTTTTTTAGTCGGGTACGCTGTTTTGGATAGAAATCTGCTGTCTAGTGTTTTGCACCTGTTGTATGATCTAGCAGTGCTGTTTGATTTTGATTATTTTGTTTTGCTCTTCCTTAATATCTTTCTTCCTTTCAGCGAATATGTTTGAACAGCTTCACGAATCATTGCTAAACTGCACTAGCGGTGTAGACAGGTATGTTGTGAACCGCGATACCGGTAGTACATAGTTCGTATGTTTAACTGCATTATTCAAAATTGCCTTGTAGTTGCGTGTCCTTAATTCATAACAGGCGGTCTCTTCCAAGTACGTCCATTTTCATCTGAGCTGATTGCCAAACTCTTGTAGGGTCTTCTTTCCCAGTCTCTCAGTAGCCATGCAGCTGTCTTCGACCTTAAAATTCTGTGATCACTTACAGCGTTGCCAAAATGAGAAGGTAGACTTAGCCTAGTATCTCTGAATGAAGTAACGGATTAAAAGCACATGCACTGCCAAAATTGCCTACAGTTATGCGGATATTGGCTGAACAGATTCTGATAGCTGACGACCATATCGATTCAGGCTGTTGTTTGTTTCACCACTGAATACTTTGCCTATCTCTGTTTCCAGAAGAGGTATATTCGAAACCTCCCAACGCTATAAACAGTATTGCATACACATCGCACTCTGCAGTTTCTCTACCCAAACATCCGTGTCCAACTTGATATACGAACGAGTGAATATTACCTACTGGAATACTGCGAAGGGCAAGAAAAGAAAGACTACGCAGTCTGTCAAAACCTGCGATTCTTTGCCTTGGACCCTGACTCAAATCGACATCATTTACCACCTAGTAAGACTATCCTTAGACATGAAAAGTGTAGGATACCATAATTTTACTTCTCGAATCATATTTCTGGCTCCCGCTTAACAGTCACGGAACTTCACTTGGTTAGGAAAACTGGTTAATTTCAGCATAATCCGTACGACTCACGCGAGGGACAGCCGAACTACAAGTCTTTGCAAGCAGCTTTTCGCTGATTTTCCTATACGTGACCGTTACTAATCAGCCGTTACAGTTAGTGGATCGTATAGTGAATCGGTACGGTGCGTTGAAGTCTGACAGCGAAATGTGAATATCATATGCACTCCAGGTGGGGTTTGAAGCTTTGCTCTCAAATCTGGACCTACGCATATGGTTGCCTAAACCGTAGAAGGTTACGGAACCAAATCTACCGTTTATTTGCGCCGGTTGTGGGCGTGCAAATTGTTTTAGGATGTCGC